TGGCGGGCGTCCAGATTGGAATACTCGCTAAGAACATTTCGACGCGATCGTTGTATTATTTTAGCTCCGCCCGGCGAAAGCGCTACGCCCCGCAATGTAGAGGGTCTCCCATGGGTATCCGCAGGTTGATATCATGCGATGCGAGTGCTTCAAGCTGAAACTTTCAACGAATAGAATACCTTTCGACTGTATGCAAAATCAAATCAGAAATTGTTTTATGCAGAATAATTTAACTCTCGTACTGCGTTATTAAAATATTCGTTGACGATTTTTAAATCTGAGAAACGCTTGCTCGGTTTACCTGTTTTTATTACAACGGGATAATTAAAAAGACAAAAATGGGAAATTAGTTAATAAACATTAGATATTGTAATTGGCAAAGAATATTTATAGAAACTAAGTTTTTCTTAATCTTTATGTTAAGCCTTTTGTCAGGTTCGTGAGCTGAGTTCCAACTCCAACTCGATTTAGGGAAGAATAGTGTGAGAGATTTCCCATTGCCATTTCAGACAGCAGTGCTTAAAATAGGCATATTTTCAATTGGAAACATATTTTTAATCTATATTTTTAAATAAAAATGGACATCACTGCTGCATGATGTCAGATTTTGTCATATATAAGGGAAATACGACAAAAATGAATCAAAAAATGTGCATATATGGACACAGTAGTCTTATTTAAAAATTGACTAGTTTTACTAACGTTTCTGCGACTGTATAGCATTAAAAATGCCATAATCACAATTCGGTCAGAAGTTGATCATCATTGTCACAGTTGCAATAACCAGTTCAATTATAGATCGCGCCATCAAAAGGTTATTATGAAGGTGTTTTTTCATATTTTTTGGGGACATGTAAAAATTTTTTAAAATCAATGAACTTATGGCAGTACTACTGACCTCGATCAATTTTATTGCAATACTCAAATATTTTATGGATTTTTGATTATTTATTTATTTTTGTTCATTTTCGGACAAAATGACATGGTTAGAAAATGGACAAAATAACATAGTACTGTTGCGCAAGCACTACAGGGTAGTTCATTTAAGACCAAGAAAAAAGGTAATTAAAACCCATCAAACGTAATTGACTTTTAATTTTTTACTCTAACTACCTCTAAACAGAACAAAAAATCCACCGGTAAGAACAATAGACTTGCATTTATAGTAAAACTTTTTTTCCGCTCTAAGCCCTGCGAAGGTGAATTACGATGTATAATTTGTTCACTTTGGGATCAGGCTTCATGTGCTGATATCCCTAAGAGCAAGAGGACCGATTTATTTGAGAACTGCCATCTTAAAATTAGTTTTTCAGTTTCTGATTACCTTCAGTACTAGGTTCTTGTAATAAGTTGCATATTTCTTTAATAAATATGTTTTGATAGTTCCTATTTCATTAGAAGACTATGTTATTGATAGTTAATGAACCAAAACCATTGAACTTGATTATAATATCATTAAATAAATTAATATAATTAAAAAACGAAACACCATATTATATTTACACGGTTACAAGATAGATTGTATAATTCAGTGGTTTAATCGGTTTACATCGACTGGCTTTGATCAAGCGTGATCGATTCATCTGGTTCATGCTTCTAATTTGATGATTTGGTCCTTAGATGACCAAAAAAAGTATTTACTTATGTATACTGAATATCAAATATACTATTAAACAATCCAGTTAAAAGAATTTGAGTGATTAAATTTTAAAATTACCTATCATATTACGTCATTGTGGAGAGTACGTGGCGTAAGCGTTAGAGTCTAGGCATTGCAACTACAATTTTCCGAGTTCAAACCCTGCGTTGTATTAACCTATTAACCTCTAAATATAAATATTTTCAAATCATAGTATTAAAAATACTTCATGTTTTTTAATTAATTTATTTTCTATTTTATTTACAACTGTCCAGTTAAGAACATTTAGTAAATTTGTAGAATTTACAATTGTCAGCCGTAAAGGGACATTGTATACTATAGTGACATGTTGGAAAAACAACTCAATAGTTGTTTATCCATTCGTTATAAATATATAAATAAAGTTATTACTTTTCAAATGTACGCTACGTAATGTTATTATTAATTAGTAACTCTTTTCACTATTGTCACTAATGTTATTATTAATTAATATTCCTGTCACTACCATTTGTTGTTAGTTATATTCATGTCTATCTAATTGTAAGATTGGCCCTTACATCAGAGTCTTCTCATTTTTATGTTGCCAGTTTCCCGTAATACACGATTCAGCAACATCCCGAAGGAGAAATTTACGTTTTCGCCATATAATATAATCCGACTTGCTAATTTTATGTTTCTTAACTTGTTAAGTCATTCTAAATTTATTGATATCGAATCCAAAATATGACATTACGTTCATGTTTTCTCAAGAACGGCTAAACCAATTTTAAAATTTTTAAAGCTAATCGATAAAACTCGATAATCGAGTTTAGTTTTGCGAGAGGATCGGCCGAGTCTTTTTCAGAGTAAAATTGCAAAAAATTTAGTCTACATTTTACAAAAAAAATCTTGTATTCGTTTTTAAAAAATAAATATGAACATTTAAAAACTGCTCGAAAGAAATCAGTTGGAGATCGTACTGATGAGTTTTTGGTAAAAAAAATACTATAGACCTCTCCTATAAAAGTAAGTAATTTGTTACATTTCTACTAATATTTTGGACTCAGCTGCAAGACATCTATGGAAATAAATATGACTTCAGGGGCGTAACTACCACCGTATCAGCCGTATCAAAAATACGGGGCTCCCGAGCCAAGGAGGGCCCCAACGTCCGTAAGCAAATAAAAATAATATAAAAAATGTTTCATCAAAAAGCTAATTAATCGTGAAAACTTTGTTCAATCAAATTTAATGTCAATAAAGAAGAACGCGAGAAATGTAAAATTATTATTATATTATTTCAAAGAGTTTTATTTTTTCTGCCACGGGGCACGGTGGCCCCAAACTTGCGCAAAAGTTAGTAGAATCTTACAAATTTTTATTTTATTTCACAAATAACAAAAGTCAAAATAATCATGAAAAGTCATTTAGCAAAACACCTGTCTCCGTGAAACTTTCGTCTAAATACAGTAAAATCATCTCCTTGTAATTTTTATAACCAATTGTAAACTCTCTAAAAATATGTTTAAAATATGAAATTAAATATTTATTTATATTGCTAACGAATTCAATAGTTTTTCACACAATTTTTCCGAAGCAATTTTTGCATACTTTACCCAGTTGTAACCGCAAAGAGACTGAAAGATGTTTTCAAATATAAAACTGATAAAAAATTAGCTAATCAGGTGTAAGCCTTAGGAAACTCTGTACTTCCCGATATATGTGAATAGTCAACCCAATTAATAAGAATTCAGATTTATTACAATTTTTTAAGAATTTTTAAACATAATGTCTTATCACAGGCTCATAATATTTTAGTATCTATGATAGTTATGATCATGGAAAGATTTATCAAAATCGTCAATTTAATTTCAACAACTACTTAATTGCTAAAAAACTGTCTGGGCGATATATTCCAAACGGTTTATGATTTGGAAATGAGGATGAAAATTTTAAGGAATCGGCTCGGCTTATCGTTGTAAAAAAACATTTTCTGGCAAAAATATTAACTTTTCCTTCGAGAAGTTAAATACTTCGACGATACAGGATACAGCATTAGATCATTATTGTTCACAGAAACTTTATCAAAAAATATATAGTCATCATAAGCTATAAATGAATTAATAAATATGTATATGTATTGAATTTGAATTGTTTGTAGAAATTTCGGATGAATATTGATGATAAGTGAAGATTTTTATGGGAAAATTCTGGCATACCCGAGGGGGCCCCCAAAAAAATTTTGATATGGGCCCCGCCAATGCAGATTTTTTCTTCATACTAAGATGTATTTATAATATTTATTTGATGATTGTTCAAGTATATTTATGTCGGAAACATATTTCAAGTTATGCCGGAAGTTTTAATTTCAAACTTTAAACTTTGCTACTTAAGTCGTACCTATGCAAAATTCCTTACTCATACCGGGTTAGTAAAGAGCGTTTTATGGATTTTTGTGTTGAATACAAATCATAATTGAATATAAATATATCATATTCTGGATACAAATAAATAATGGTTAAATACAATATTTCAATTTTTTTTAGTCAAAACGGCTGTTTTCATGAACAGTTCCAAATCTATTCTTAGCTTCCAGAGACTTAATAATTTTGTAAGTACATTCGTTACCTTCTGAAATTATTTTTCTATTTTAGGTATTCTTTCAAATAATGTTCAACTTGGAAACTAATAACTAGAGAAAATTGATCTCTGACTGAAATCTATATAGTGAAAAATTAATTTTATATAGTAAAAAAGGAAGAGCCAACTAAAATAGATTCAATAAACGCTTTTTTTAATATTAAAGGTCCAAATATTATAGCATTATTTCTTTAGAGGGTATGACTTGAGCAACCCTACCCTCTATTTTAATTTTAAAGTTTAAAAATGAATCATATGTTGAACTGGTTAAACTGAGAATTTTTTTTGACAAAATCTATTGAAATGTATCATTTTTATTCTGAATGTACTTGACATAAATATCAGCACTAAAACATTTGTTTCTTTATTAGTTATTGGAATGAATACAAATTTTGCATCATCTGAAAAAATCGACTGTGAAGAACTGAAAACGAGGCAGTTGGAGTAAAAGAAGGCAAAACGTTCAAAAAGCTCATAAATAAGAGCGCCTTCTGTGCGTGAATTATTCATAAGAACAACAAGTTATTGCATGAGAAAGTTTAGAGAACAAATTATGTAGAGTTTTATTATCGAAGACAATTTAGATAAAATATTGAAATAAAAGTAATTTGCATAAATCTTATGAGAGTTTAATAGAAATTTACACCAATGATCTAAACCATTTTGATATTCCTACGCACGCCGATAGAGTAACGAATGGCGCTGATGTAAAGAGCAGATATTTGACGTTTGTAATTTTGATTGTCAAAGTGGACAAAAAGAGAAAGCAAAATACATTTAAATTTTAACAAAATGATTATACATTCTGTCAAAACATGAGTGGATTCCTATAATTATGATATTGTGCGTAACAGATTTGAAGCTGCTTAACAATGTGATAAATCAATAATTGCTGATAATAAATACATTGGAATATTAAATTTTTGAAGCATAGAATACAATGGAAGTTAAAGAGCAATTCGAGCACGCAGTTGCTTTAAAAGGTCCAATTCACAAACTAATACCTCTTCTTTGATTCTAATATATTATTTTAAACAAGTAAGTATTTATTATTTACTTCTAGTTATGCGATTGACCAGGCCGACCTTAGTGACACCACCTATTATTACCTGTGACATGAGGGATATACCTAGAAGGATATTTAATCAAGACCTTGAACAAAATGTTATCACTGTATGTGGATCAGAAACTCTCCAAGTGGGGCAATTTTTACTTCTTCCTCAAAGCTTTGGTAATATATATTTAGGCGAAACTTTTTCTTGTTACATCTGCGTTCATAATTGTACCAATGAACTTGTAACTGGAGTTCATCTAAAGGTAACAGTGCTGCATGCAATAAATATTTCTTTACAGAATTTCAATGTACTTTGTTTTAGGCCAACTTGCAAATTACTAGTCAGAGCATACATATATTGCCTTCACCGAATCAAGAGCTTCCAAGTTCCCTAGGGCCAAATGACACGCTGGATAGTGTTATACATTATGAAGTAAAAGAAATTGGAACACATATGTAAGCTTATTGCATACACAAAATTCAATACATAAAGTTTTTGTATTCTTCATGTTAATAACATTCTTTCATATTATCTGCTGGCAGTTTAGTTTGTGAGGTGAACTATAATTCAACAAAGAATACACAAGAAAGCTTTCGTAAATTTTTTAAATTCCAAGTTGTGAAGCCGTTAGACATCAAAACCAAATTTTACAATGCTGATTCAAATGAAGTGTATTTAGAAGCAACTATACAGAATATTACTTCGGGTGTTGTATGCTTGGAGAAGGTGCTTCTAGAGAGTTCTGACATGTTTAATGGTGATAATATTTAAATATGCAGATGATACTGCTTATAATAATTTTAGATTTAATAATATAACAAAGGCATACATCATATGCATTTCTGCACCTACAATACATATTATTTGTCCAATATTTATTTAAGAGCTTTAAAATATGTTAAACTTTTTTAGTTAATGAATTGAATGCAGTAGATGAAACGCGCACAGTTCTTGACGAAACTAATTATTTGTCGTCTCAGTGCAGTTGTAATTTACTGTATTGCCTTACTACTAAGGAGGCATTATCTGATGCTACAAACATAGGTAAACTAGATATTGTATGGAGGTCTAATCTTGGTGAAAAAGGGCGTCTGCAAACTAGTCAACTCTATAGAATTGTAAGTATAACTTAATTCACATCATTCTATATATATATATATATATATATATATATATATATATATATATATATATATAATATTTATTTATTTATTTCTTTATTTATATACATATACCCATTTAATTTTCTACAGGCACCTAAATATGGTGATATAAATGTTTCAATAAAAAATATTCCTAGTACTGTATGCATAGAGGAGACTTTTGATGTGATCTGTGAAATTTCTAACATAAGGTAAATGCTATGTTTATAGTTTATCACTCTGGTAGAAATCTAAAGAATAATGCCTAATTCAAAATATGCTACAATATTTGAGATAACTTAACTAACATAATGTAACTTTTGTGTTACATGTCTGTGTATGTAATATGAAGTTCTTTTAGTTCTCATTTACACAAATTTTGTACATTTTTTTCACACACACACATATATATATATATATATATATATATATATATATATATATTAGGGTGGTCCTTAAAATGGTCATTTTCGAATTTCCTTGCTCCCAGGGGCTCAAATGGTTCCAAATAGGTAAAAAACAATTCTCTGAAAGTTTTAGCTCTAAATATTAACGTTTAGATAGAGCGCAATTCAATCAAAGTTTGTATGGAAAAAGCATGGGAAAATTTTTGAAAGTTAAAAAAAAATGTTTTAGGTATAACTTAGCGACAAATGAATGAGTTTTATTCATTCATTTGTTCACTAAATTACATCTAAAAACCATTTTTTAAATTTTTGAAAATTTTTCTATGCTATTTCCATACAAAACTTTGATTGAATTGCGCTCTATCTAAACATTAATATTAAGAGCTAAAACTTTCAGAGAATTGTTTTTTATCTATTTGGAACCATTTGAGCCCCTGGGAGCAAGGAAATTCGAAAATGACCATTTTAAGGACCACCCTAATATATATATATATACATATTCCAAGTTACTAGAAAGTTGTACACCTTACTAAGTCTAAAATATATTATTAATATATTTTTTCATATAATTTTATTTTAATTTAGCCAGAGACCTGTAGAAATTTTGTTAAGACTACGACCTATTGAAAACTCAGGGCTTCATTGGATAGGTGTCTCAGATCGTAAGGTTAGCAGTTTCTATACTCAATCTGACATGATGATTTAAATAGTAGTTCATAGAATGGTTTCAAGCACAATTGTATTTAGTTGAATTTATATATAGCATTGGACATATTATAATATATTATTTACAGTTAGGAACATTAGAAGGGGGCAAATCACTTGAATGCGTTTTGACTGCATTTCCTACGAGATCTGGACTGCTGAGTGTATCAGGCATTCACTTAATAGATACATTCCTTATGAGGACTTATGAATATAATGAACTAGGACAAATTTTTGTAATGAATATATGAAATACATTAATATTCTGTCCTACATTTTTCTGTTATTTACATTTATATCACAAGCCTATATATATATATTACATATTTGTATTAATTTCACTGCCATTTGCGACCATGCAGCCATCTGGTCAATAATACATACACACACATGCACACTTACATACATTTCAAATCATTTACAAACTATTCTGAATATTTTAAGAATTATAATAAATAAATATAAACATGTAACATACAGTAAACAGTAAATTTAAATTGATTAATAATATGATTATTAAATTAATGAAAACTCATTTCCATTATATAAATTGATATTTAAAATGCTTCTTCTTTGATTTATCATACAATTTATAAATACAAAACAATAGAATAGATTCTTATTCTGCACTACAAAAAAAGCTGGACCTGCCTTTGCCAAAAACTAATCAGCACATCTCCCCATGAATACATCGTATTCTAATATTATCTATGCATCTCCCTATCAAAAGAAATCAAATGTTTTTTGAACCATACAAATCAGTTGATCCGTGCGTCCGAAAACGTGGACGAAAAGCGGACATACAAAACACACACACACACATCCATTTTTTCTGAGGTATGCCTAAATGTTCAGAAACCTTCAAAACGTGAAGATATGTAAAAATATTTATTTTCGGCCCATTACTGTAACTACCCTTACGGGAAGTTAAAAATTTGCTTATTAACTCTTATCAGTCCCGCTATTGTTAAATGTTTTTAAATCTACTTTTTTCTTCTTTAGTGAAATTAAATGCATTTTATGTAAATGACAATGTAAATCCTTGACAATATAATAATGTGATGTGAATCAATTGCATGTAAAATACATCGTATCAGCTGATTTCATACTGAATAATCTGGACAAATCAGATCAATGTTCTTATTACAATTGTTTTTGTATACTTTAAATAAATAATCATAATAAAATCATTCGATAAAATCAAATTTATATAAATTTATAATAGTATAATTTATATAATTTATTAATATAATAAAATTTGAAACTTTATTATTACACACAGGCACGCACAGGGTGACTGATTTTCAATTCGAACTTAATTTATTTATTTTTAACTCGTTAATTAATTTATTTATTTGTCGTGTGGAAAAAGCTTAAGATCATAAGGTACAATAAATATTTTATATTTGCTTAATTCAAAACACAACGATTATAAACGCTTTCGAGATATACCACCAGAGGCGCTACCCTCACCAGTGTTTCATAATCAACTTGATATCTATGCTTTTTGTCCCGAGGTGTGGTTCACGTCTTTATCTTTGGTCAGTTTCTTAGAAAGTTCGATTAAAGTGATAACTAAATTTTGTGGCTCAATAAAAGCGATCAAGATGAGGGACTAGTTCTAAATAACTTTGCACACACAAGTGTGCCAGTAAACCGTAAATAAAAATGGAGTAAGTTTATTCAAAATTATATTGCATTTATTTGGAAAATTAAGAGATGGTGAAAGGAATCGCGAAATATGAGATCAAGGCGACCATCTTGATTTCACAACTTCATGCAATATTACATTTCTTCAAATTTAGCTAATGAATCTTCATATATTTCTAAGTCTAACTGTATACAAAATAAACAGACATGCCATAAACATAAACTTATATCGAGTTTAAAAACATTCCTGTCTTAGAATAAAGTCTTCATGCATACCATATGTATACCTATTTATCTCGTACGAATGAAATGAAAAAAATATATATCTGACGTGTTAAATTATTAGTTATCATTTGTACTTGTTTCTAAACAGATATTAAAATAAACTTTTACATACACACACACACACACACACACATATATATATATATATATATATATATATATATATACATACTTATACTAATAAATATATAACAAATGTATTGTTAGTGGTTAAATATTAAATTAGAAATATGAACAAACAGCACTCTTTTTTTGCACTAATTTATTAAATAATATTAATTTTACACTAATTAATTTTTTACAGCACTAAGTAAAAAAAAAAATAAAGCAATTATGAATTAAAGCTTTATTTTTCATATGTTTTGGTCTATCTAGACCGTCATTTATTAACACATAAATTCACTAAACTGTTACACAAATGTAAAACCAGGCTATCAATGATTCGAACGCTTAAAACTATATGTTGAGTTGATAAGTTAAAGCTACATATATATAGCTCAATATATAATTTTAAATGTCCGAATTATTAATGGCCTGGATTTAAATCTGCGTATTAGTGTAACGTATTTATGTTTAAATATATGTCTTTTGTTTCACTAAATAACAGTCTTTACTTGACAGCTCAAATCAACATAACTTATTAAAATCTATATCAACACTAAATTCACATACTCCATACATATGCATACATATATTTACACACACATAGGTTGTCATTACATACTTTTCAGGATATATTACTATAATGTTGACAATTCATTGTACAGCTATCCCCCGCTTTACATGGAAGATTGGTTCCATAAAAAACCATGTAACTTGAAATTTCACTCTTATGGAAAAACTGTCCTAAACAAAAATCACTATAAAAAGCGCTCTTGGTCACTTTTTACAATCATAAATAACAAACACATTGAAAGAAAAATAAATATTAATATATTTAATATCAAACACAAATATTTTTATTTTTATTTTTTGTCATTGTCGAACTATATTTTTTTTTACAAATTATAGATTTTGTTTGCTAACCTGGAATAAAATCACGCTATCAATTATATTTAAACATTAATTGAAAACATAAAGTTTAAAATCAATATGCTCTTTATTTTAGCATCTAAAACAAACTAGATTATACTCACATAAAATTTAGTTTTGGTCATAAAACAGGAAGTTTCCATTTTATCTACATATTTCCGTCATAGTTATAAACTATTAAGAATTTGTAATTGTAACTTTCATTTTGTAGTGTTATATTTTAACAGAAATTAATACTGTGTAAAACAGGGGGATGGGTGTATTTGACAAATTCATGAATAAGAAGTTTTGATATCACTCATGCAAATTGCTTTCATAAATATATGAAATCTTATGGATTGATTGTTAATTTGAAAAATCATAGTTGTCTAGTTGTGTCATTACTGCTTTACAAATTTTAAGTTACAACATTTTTTTTATGCTCAAAACTTTGTCTATTAGAAGTAAATACAAAAATATATTAATAACAAATTGCACACCTATCCAACTGATATCAATACAATCATTCAAAAGTTAAGCTGGAATTAACAAATATGTGATATTAAAAGTAATGGAAAAATTCTATAAAAAAAACATATACATAAATATTAAAAACACAGTTTTACAAAAGTTTTGTAATTTTAGACCTGATAGGTGAGATTTGAAAGCCAAGTTTGTTTGAATGTCAGTTCCCATTGGGACTAAACTTAATCCTTTACCTTTACCTTGTTGGGATTAATAAAATTGTCATGTTTTTCATGAAATCATAGATGTTTTTTTTTATTTTATATTCTAGTATTATGTTTCCTATAAAAACAACATTTTAGTATTTGTTTTACATAATATATGTTTTGATTTTTTTACAGAGCCATCATGGCACTCAACGCGTCCTTACGCGTCTGTACGACAACAAATACATCATTCAGCAGTGGTTTATTGAACATTCCGCTTCAGACAAAATTCAATAACCTTCTTTTCGAATATAACTCCGAAAGCTTAACCACCCACAAAGATGAGCACACTATCCAACAATTACAATTGGGAGGGGAAGGCGGATCCATGTACGACGTACTTTGCTGATTCGTGCTTGCTGGAAGATAACTTTACTAATGGTGAGCATTCACATACATTATAATAATAAATCACTATAACTCTCAACTTTTTTAGAATGCTATTTGATACTATATTTATGTATACATTAGATTGTAATTTTTTCTATTTAGAAGCATTTTCTCAATGGCTGGAGGAGAAAGTGGATTTGCCTCTGCTGGAGGATTTCTCTACTACAACTGGTATGAACAAAACTCTAAGCGGAGAAACCAAATTTCCTCAGCAATTTGATACCACAGATTTTATTCAACAAGACACTGAGAGTCTTTTACGAGAATTTGAACGCATTTATGATAAAGTGGAACTAAATCATTTTACTCCGCCTCAAAGTCCAACATCATTATTTTACACCCAGCCTGAACAGTGTAATGAATTCAATCATTTGGATTCATCGCCTGATTGGGATAAGACATTTGGTGATGATGTGGAAGTTGACATATGCCAACGGTTGTACGAACAGAATGATTTTGACATGTTGAGTCTGGAACAGCAATCAACTGAAGACGTTATACCTATGAGTGAGGAGAGTGACATAGCAGATCAGATTTATGATCACTTTTATGAAAGTTCGTTTACATCAGAAGACAAAACAATTTCATCTCCAGACAACAGTAGTTCACTATCTTCTGACCAGGATGATGATTGGGTTCCAGATCAGAGTTCAACCAAACATTCTTATAAGTTATATCATAGGTTGGGAAGGGGTGATCGTAAAAATAGAAAGAAAGAGCAAAACAAAAATGCAGCTACAAGGTATCGCCAGAAGAAAAAAGCTCAGATTGAAGAAATTATTAGCAAAGAGCAAGATTTATTGGAATATAATAAGAAGTTGCGAACTCAATGTACAGATATTGAACGTGAGATCAAGTATTTGAAAGATTTAATGCGTGAATTATTTAAGGCAAAAGGATTGCTCAAATAAGTTATCTTCCTGAAAGGTCAAAATTAAACACTCACACACTCACTCATAATCATCATGTGCATATGTGTATGCAATGTGTGCATGCTTAATGCATGCATAAATTGACTTAAACACATGCTTATATGTAGAATATGCAATTACATTACAAACACCCTTAATACACCATGCATTAGGAATACCATTATTACCAGATGATATCAGTTGGATGTAAACTATGCACCCAAAAGATTTTTGTTGCTAAACCATTGCATTCTATTGTTGTAACAGATAGTATAATTTTTTTTTGTAAATTGTATTTTTTTTATTTTGCATATTTTATTAGTAAATAATTTTATTAACAATGATTTAAGTTGTAAGTAATATTACGGGAAAATATATATTGTGGATTGAAACATAGTCTCATTATTTACGTGTTAGACAAATGTAGAGAATGAAACAACACATACAAAATTTTATGATGTTATATCACTCACGTTTAATTTTAATAATATTTCTATAGTACAAATACGAATGATTGCTTGTGATTTTATTTATTGAAAGTTTGATTTATATATGTGATTTCATTTCAGAATACAAATCTTAACAAAACATTACATAATTGAACATAATAGAATATGATATTTTATTTAAAAATGGTAAAACTAAATTACTTTTTTATAAAAAGTAGTAAAATGTATTCAATATACATATGCAAAAATTCAATTGTTCAGGTTTCAACTTGATTATATTATCGGAGCTTCGGTTATTAGATTTTTAAGTTCTGAACAACACTTAAAAATTGTTCAATGTAATCATTATTATTCCAGCCTATATTAGCCTATAGTTCAGTTATAAATTATCAATAGTAAAAATGTTTTGTAGTTTGTTATGGTTGTGACTATGATGTGTGTTTTTTGGAGGGCGTAACATCAAGTAAAAAATATAAATAAAGATTTTTTAAAACATCTTTATTTTTCCATACGTTTCGATGTAAAATTCTACGTCATCGTCAGTGGTTCTACAATTTTGAAAAAAAAACAGAAAATAACGTTAAAAACTAAATATACATAAGCATGCTTGCAAGAATAAAAAGAAAACTAAACACACAGACTAATTATATCTAAACCTTAAATTAAAATAATGCATAAAACATTACTTGTATTTCTTAGATTATTACTTACACATATTAATACAGCTTGTAAAAAATTAATAATTGGAAACAAGCACCAAATGTCATTAATTTCTTTTTTATAAAGAATAAAAAATAATTAATAAATAGAATATTATACGTAAGCACTCGTGTATCCCAGGCATGCCAAATAAAAATAAAGTTTTTGCAAAAATTCGAGATGCGAGGTCAAAATTTTGAGAAAAAAAACTCATGTGCTTGCACTGACCATCAGTAAGATGCGCTGTGCAAGTGTGTGTGATAGTGTTTAACATAGCGTGGTGCTAGGTATTCGATACAAATTGAGAAACATTATTTAGAACATATTGGTAATTTTCGCAGAGGAATCAGTTCGTTTATTAATAAGTTTGTCCAAAATAATAAAAGCCGATTTTGCAAAGCGTCGACTTATGATGAAGAACCTTTGCGTCATAAAAATTGAACGTATGGTTATTTAGTTTTAAATGTTCTGTGATCATTGTTTGCCCTTGATTTTTGTTTTTTGAGTTATTATGGTGTTGTTTTAAACGTTTGATAAGGTTCTGTCCTGTTTCGCCAATATAGGTGGAATCACAGCCATTGCAAGATAATTTATAGACCACATTGGATACTCGTTCTAAACTAGTGCGCGGCTTTAAATTTGAGAAGAGGGAATTGAGCGTTAAATCAATGTTGCATACTAAACGAAGATTTGCGTTATAAAAAAGTTTTTTCCACATCGGATAAAGTTCCTTGATGTAAGGCAGGCAAATGGTACCTTCAAAATTATTATCTTTTGTGGAAATTAAACTCAGGTTGGGGTTAATTATTTTGTTATTTGAAATAGTGAGTCTATTGTTTGTGGCGGATTTTATAAGATGTGGGGTGGGGGATGTGTGGGTGGGGAAAAATTCATATCCCCCACATCTTATAACATCCGTCACAAACAATAGACTCACTATTTTAAAAAACAAAATAATTAACCCCAACCTTAGTTTAATTTAGGATTATGTAATGAGTAAAATTTGACTAAACAATTAAAAAAATGCTTGGCATGCGCAAAATTTAACATTTAGGGACATGAAAAGTAGCCGATTTCTACTGATTTAGTCCTACTGAAATGTGAATATAAATGTAATTACCAATTTAACTTTTGACGTTGCTAGGATTTTATTCCTAAAGGAGGCAAATCGAAATAAACTACCAATAAATATTTCAACAAAAATTCTAATGAAGGTAAAAGAATTTTAGTCATTCTTTGTGTTCCTAGTTTCTTGTCTTTTCCCGAAAACGTCTAGGTTTATCGCAAACTTTGCAGATTACCATCTATATTATTTATAAATATTGTGTGTAGTATGTATGTGTATATTATATGCATAAAAATACGATTAATTCAAAACAAAAAATCTATAATGCTTTCTATGTTATTTTAAACTATCTTAAATAAAAAAAATAGCCTATAATAGGATGTAGAAATGGTCTGTGAAAGTTTCTGGCGTGCACATTTTTGGATATGATTGGTGAATAGAATATTTGGAAAGTAGAGCATATGTAACCAAAATATCCTCTGTTGACTTTTTTCGCTTCTTTCTATTTAATGCAAGATACTAAATTTTGCGTACAGATTAGATCTTATATCAAAACCGCAAGTCCCACAATTAATTAATTTGAAATACATTAAACCGTTATTCAGTGTTCTAATACGAGAAACACTATTTAAAAATAAATCAACAATTTTTAAGTAGGTTTTCATTTGTCATAGATTAAAGTTAACTCTTACATGCAATTAATTTGCCATTATAAAAATAATATTGCAAAAAAACTTCTTCAACTAGGCTGCTCGTATTTTGGCAATGACGTCACGATATCATTTATAACAATTTGTATTTGAAGGTCTTATTGTTAGAATTAATATTTAAATTAAAATGAAAATCTGTTTTGCTCACGCAACAAATACTCCGTTAATACTCTGCGCATCTAAATCATACCCCTCTTTGACTGCTAGGTAACACCGAAACCGCTACTATTTTCTCGCATGCATGCTTTGCTCAGGTAACCGAAAAAATTGTATCTTGAGTATATATACTCGCGGTACTCATATGGACAATTTCATTACGTTATTCGTCTTCATTGTAGACATTATAAATCCTATACGAAATCGATATTCGGCATGAAGGGCTTTATCATGAATTTTGTGTTAGTTGGATTATCGCTTTTAGTGGTTGTTACTAAGCAGGAAGATGTAGAAATTTCTTCAACCGTTGGACAGTTGCGCTATTGTCTCCGAAACAGCGATGTATTGCCTTGTGTAAAACGCCTTATTGCTAGGAATCTGCAGCAAGCAGTTGAAAGTGATGCTGTATGGCCAATTACTGATTATTTATCGATCACAAAAGATCGTGATTGGAGAGCGGATATCACGAATAATTCCAAAGTGTTGACACCAGATGAGCAAATTGTTCAGGGAGTGCATGATTTTGTGAGATCTAGGAGTTTACAAGTTAAATTTGTCGCTGATGACGCTGAAATGGAAGGTAATAATATTAATATATATATATATATATATATATATATATTCCTTTATACATTTACATATATATATATATATATATATATATATTATATATTATAGTTTTGTCGACGTTGATACATATTTAAAGTATTTTGCAACCCAATCGTCGAATTAAAAGAAAGATTGAAATAGATTTTTTTTATTCTTTTAACGTTTCGACACTTAATGTGTGTCATCCTTCAGTAATCTAAAAAACATATTACATAAATAACAATAGTTGATATTAAATATGAAAAAGAGAAAATTATATACTTTCCAAACCATGAAAAAGACAAAGAAAAATTTAATAGAATAAAAAAAATTCTATTTTAATATTTTTTGAATTCGATGATTGGGCTGCAAAATACTTCATATATATATATATATATATATATATATATATATATATATATATATATATATTAACAAATATTTTTCACCGTTTATTATCACACAAATGTTCCAATCAAAATCAAAATTATCATTGTGAAATATTTCAACATTTGAAATCTATTGCAATTTTACAGATATGTTTTTATGAATCCTTTAAACTTCCTTCTTCTATATTAATGAAATCGCAACTGATTAATTTTAAATTGTTAGTTAATTATTTAATTTTTTGTTAATTGTATTTTATTCACGCAAAGATCTAAAATCTCTTTCTGATAAAGCAATATTTGAAATTCAGACATGTGTAGCGTTCGCTTGTACTAACATAAACTGAAACAAAGTATTAGTAACTTTTTATTTCTGGGCAAGTTGCACGAATTTTGCAATATCTGAAAATGATCGAGGTGGTCAACAAGAATTGTGATGTTTAAAATTGGGACGAATATATATTTCAACTGCTAATTAATCAGCTTAATATTTGACTGATATCTTCCAAACACACTTTGTAATTTTTAAATTATATTAGGACGTTTTGCAAAAACGTGGACGAAATTTACTTTATTTAACTGTTAACTACGAGCAATAACTATTGTAAGAAATCAAATTATAAAACAAAATATTTCGAGTAAGTCATTATTGATTTTTGTCAAATGAATGAATTTCTTAAATCGTACGCAATATTTGTTTCAAGTGATTCAGAATGACTCGATTTGATTTTTTTAAAACCCATTCAAAACTAAATTTTGTTATTTTACTTAATTGATCATAAAATTGTGAAAATTCTTTGATTGAAACAAACAGATGTAATAGGGTGCATAACTATTATTGAATATATTAGTGCTTAATCATGCGATGTGATAATATGATGTTTTTTTTGTTTGCTCATTGAGTACAAAAATTAATTCTGAAATTTGAAAATTTTTAACGAAACTTTAAATCATTTCTCCTAAATATAGCTAAAACTCTTATGACAACTATTTTTATCTGCTTATACAATGGCAACTTATCAACTAACATGAAAGGGGTATCAAGGTCGAATCCCGACACCGTTTATAAAAACTGAATGTAAATATTGAATATGTAAAGATAATATTTTCGTAATTATAATCAATACGACATATATGCATGTAGATTTATTGTAATAAAATTTGAACTAAGATTGGTCGATGCAGTCGAGATATAATAATTTGTACTAAATGTACAGAATAAATCATTCAAATCAATTTTATGAAATTTTCGGAAAAAAATTGTAATAAAATTTGAACGAAGATTGGTCGATGCAGTCGAATTAATATAATAATTTGTACAGTGTGTAAATGTACAGTTCGTAAATGTACTGCATATATCAATCAAATCAATTTTGTAAAATTGTCGTAAAAAACGATTAATGAAGTATATATTAAGATAAAAATGTATGTAAACGCATAAGGTAGGCCTAAAAAGCGAGTACTTTACTACTCACAAACGATTAAAATCTAAATGCGCTTTCAAGTCAATTTTGGAACAACGTATAAAAATCACTCAAATGTCCAATTCGTTTATTATTATTACAAATACTAAAATTTATGATTGCACTCTTAGAACATAATGTTTGTGATAATATTTAGTATTTTATCCTTCAATGAATTTATTATTTCTATACTTAAAATCACATATATTATTATTATTATTATTATTGAATGTTATCGGATCATAATGCGATATATTAACAATTACTTGATGAATGTGTGTACAAAGTTGATTAGTTTTGCAAGGTGTATGCGTTTTAAGTACAGTTTGTATTACATTATTATATTAAACTCGAGCTATACTGGACCCTTTTAAATCATGATGTTTTCTCAAATTAGTTTTATGTATGAATGATTGGCAAACTGACGTGTAGTATAAAATATACCGTAACGAATTACTGTAACCGTATTTTATATATAATACAGTCGATTTATTTACGATGATTCTTATTTTCACAGTAATTTTAACGTAATTTATAACTGGAACAATATGTTTTTGTATGATAATAGGTGCATGTATCTCAGGGACGGAGATGAAATCGCTTGAGAAAAGTGTATGTTTACCATATACATACACTAACGCGGAAAACAGTTAAATTTAACGGAATTATTGAACTTATAAATTATTCGTATAATTACCATCGGTAATACCATAAAATTTTATAGCTTACTGTTATATTGAATAAAAGTTTTAAAATGCTGTTAAGCAATTATATTCAGCATCAAAACAATTTATTTGATTGTTTGCAACAGGTTTGATATATATGTTTGCTAACAATCTTTACTACTGAAAGAAATGAGTAAAATACGAGATTTATTAAATACTCTCATGCATTAGGGAAAGACATGGAGCTTAAAACATGTTTTTATATTAAAGGATTCAAGATAAACGTTGTGATCTTACAACTCACAGATGTTTTGGGCAAAACACGTTGCAATTATGGCTGAGATATCATATAAATATCGCTTAAATAAATAAAAATAATTCTTCTATCTATCTTCGTCAAATAGTGTTTTTCATCAAACATAATTAAACTCTATTTTTATTACACTACATGCTGAATGCAGAGAATGCCAGGAAAACATTTATTACTCTCTAGAATATCTTGTGGCAAAATTTTAAATGGAACATTAGAGTTCTAGATCATCATTATTGCTGCATTCGTTCAGAGAGATGAATAAAAGACAAACCAGGAATTTCTTACAAAACTATTTGTACAGGCTTTCTATGTGAAGTCTACTGACAAGACTATGATACAGCAGTCTGAATAAATTTATAATGATCATAAAATTATATAAAATGTCATCTCATCGAAATAAATTATAGCACAGATTTTTATTGTATGTTATGACCTACAAAAGAATAATGTCTAAACATAGATAAATAAAATTTTAGGCAAAAATCAGCGACGTGTATCTTCCTGCACGCTCAAAAGATTGCGTTAATTATTATCAAAAATGCGTGGTCTGATTTATTTAACAAACGCAGAATAACTGTCTGACAACCGTTAATTTTAAATTTAACGGATAGTTGAATTAAACTTATCTTTGATGTGTATTGTTTATGACGAGCATCGTTTTATAATTAAATTAGTCTGAAGAACAATTGAGATAAACACGGATGTTTACGCATTGTATTTAATGTTAGTGTTTATTATCATCACATGCCGTTGTTGTATCATTTTATGAATCAAGGTAGACATTTAGCTATGATTATACAAATTAAATTATATAAATTTGACGCTTGGTGAAGTGAAAAGTAAGCCAAATCTTTAATAAGTTTCCCAGATCACACAAATATGGTCTTATAATAAAGCTGTAATTTGATTTACTATTTATCACTACAAAACTAAGTAATACATGCTACTTTAAAATACAAACACTATTTTTCTGTATTATGAGACTTTGCTAATAAAGTGTAAAAAATTATGAAATCGTACGTGTGTTAATATAAATAATGATCAATGCTTTATTATGCTTGTTAATTGGTATAATAGAAATTCAAATGAAAGCGAATGAACAACAATGAATAATTAAAACGAATAGTTAAATTATTCATTGAATGACTCATTAATGAGCATTTTTATGCATATTTACGCATGTAAGAATTGTTCTAACGAATTGTTGTAAGATATACACTCACACCTTGGGGTAATCAAAACCATCAAATAAAATTTGTATGCATATTCAAATTTTTAACTTCCCGTAGGGCAAGTTATAGTAATCGCAAAAAAATCGAAAATGAAAATTTTTATATATCTTTACGTTTCAAGGGTTTCTGAACATTTTGGCATACCTTAGAAAAAATGGATGTATGTGTGTGTGTGTGTGTGTGTGTATGTACGTGTGTGTATGTATGTGCGGATACAAATTTTCGTCGACGATTTCGGGAACACGGATCAACCGATTTGAATAATTCAAAAAACATTCGATTCGTATTGATAAGGAGACGTGCTGATTAGTTTTTGGCGAAGGCAGGTTCAGCCGTTCCGAAGATACGGGGCAAGAAGTGCCGAAAACGGTAACTCAGTTTTTAAGAGAACGGAGCGTCCGATTTGAATAATTCAAAAAACATTTCACTTGTATTGACAAGATGAAGAATCGATAAAATTTTCATGGAGGTAGGTCTAGCGGTTTCGGAAATGTGGAGGAAAAAGTAAAAAAATGAGCCATTTGGCGGTCAAAAATGATCATTAGACATATGCACATCAAATTATCAGATATTTTATAGAGATTTTAACAATAAGTATACATTTTGTTAACATTCCTATGGGTTCCGTACCAATGCTTATGCGTTAGACAGCGACGCGGCGCTTACGCGCTTTATATTTTGTTCCTATGCAGTTAAAGCAGTACGATTGCTTTGAAAAAAAGTTCAGATCTTCCAAAATATGTCAAAATAAAGAAAACATTTTTTTTTTTCAAAAAAAAGTAATTTTTTGTCCAATTTATAGTTTCTCAAAAATATTATTTTTTCGAAGTATATTTTTTACAAAAATGTTAATCGTTTTTAAAAAAAATAATAATTTTTGGTACGGGAAGTTACGGCAATTTGCCTTAAGGCACGATGCTCTAATTGCCTTAA